AGCTTCAGCTGCTTTTCTCCAGATTCTTTTACAGAAAGGAAACTCCAAATTAGACTAGACATTGATGGTGGGATTTTGTGTTTGTCTTTCTGTTCAGTTCTCTCTCTCTCTACATGCTAAGGTAGACAAAAAGCCCCCTGTTACTATGACCCTTAAAAACGTGCTAATTGTTTTCCAACATCAGTATAACTCCTGTTACAGTCTATGCCAACACTTGTATCCCGATTTAAACTCTGATTCTGTCATTTATCCTAATTCACGTGGCCTTTTTCTGACATTTGTACGTAGAATGGCACCTCGGTTTAATCTGTTTTAAGGAGTGGGCAGATGGACGCAATCCTCAGCACGGCATTCTGTTTCTGTTTGAAAGACATACAGGGGAATGGAGCCCTAAGAATAGGCTGTCTCATTTCAAACTTACATAGTTGAGCAGTTTCAAAGACCAACTCGGGTATCACCAGAGCAACAGTTGTAAAATTTATCCAGAGAGGCTCCCCTTTCCCCATCTGCCTTCGAGGGAAGGCTAACTACTTCTTATTCAAGAAAATAAAATTAGGAGTGGGGAAAAAAAAGCCCCGAGGATCTCACTATTGATTACACACAAGGGTGGATTTCTTTCCCAAGATTATACGAATTCTCCACAAATCTCCGCTTTAGAGAAAACTCTCTAGTTTCTCCAAGGCAATTCTTCTCACTTGGACCATGATCTGTGCAAGTGTTTGAACAATCCTTTGTCTCACCTTTGTCATTCTGGACACGTGAGAGTTACGCAGATGTGAGGTGGTTCGTGTAAATAAACCTGAGGCATGTGATCACCGGTTAAGCAGGGCAGAACCTGCTGTGACTGCGCCCATTGTGCTCGATAGAGGCACCCTCAGATAAAGTCTCCCTCCCCTCATTATTCAAATTCCATCTCCTGCCTTCCTCTTCCTGTTAACTGTCAACTCCCTATGTTTGCACTGAAAACAAAAGCTCTTGTAAAATCCACGAGCAAACTTTAGAAAGAGGCAGCTCGGGTGCCTGAATTCTGGACCATTTCGAACACACTGGTACTCCTGTCAGTGCTGCCACTCTAGACTACACACTGGTTGGTTTTCATAGAGAAGCCTTCCTGAAAAATGCCTGTAGATGCTTGGAAATCTTTTTTTTTGGTATGTTACTCGTAACACTGAGATCAGAAAAGACCTTGCTTTTGTGTCCTTCCAGCCCTCTTCTCTCAAAACTTACCTTTCTGGAAACCACCTTACTCTGCAACATTTAGTGATACATGAAAAATACAGAGATAATCTGAGTGATAAAGAACAACTAATGTACTTATTTGAAGAAAGAAGGAGGGTATTGATGCTGAATGCAATCAGGTGGCTTTGGATGACCCAACACTGTGTGTTCATAATAGCTTAGAAGAACCTAAGAGATTGCGATCATATTTTGTCATTCAGGGATAGTAATATTATCATTGTCTCTTGGGGCAAGAACAACAGACTTCAAACTAAGACTAAAATTGTTCCAGCCCAACAAAGTCCACATCCTATCTGTTGTGACACCCTTGCAAAGAGGAATTGATAAACTCTCTCAGATACAGCATATTTACCACTCCACTTTAGGCTTCTCCAATTTCCTCCAGACCAACAGGTTTCATATAGTGCATCTCTTGAACTGCAGTTCCAAAAGGTATTGAGTTTCACATGCTCTATCATCTTTTAACACTATCCTTTTTTATTATTATTAATGATCTGAAGACTAAATGAATAGGCTGACAGGCAAAAGTCTTCTGTGAATCTCATTCATTTGCTCTAATCCAGATGTAACCAGTGTAAGTAGTAATCTAGGAAAAATGCAAGATTTCAGTGTAAACCAAACGCTTAACTGACCTCTTTACCTTCCTCTACCCTTCACCTTCACATTAGCAGCTTGAATTATTCATAATGGATTGAAGTTGTTTTCAGATACTAATTTACAGAATAAATGAGAAGTCATTGATCACAGACCAACTAGAGAGTTTTTAGGATGTATTTGTCCATAATCACATCCAGCTATTGAGGTGCATATACTTTATGTTCTCATTGGAATCTTTTTGGACAGGAATATGTGTATCTGCATGGTACACCTCCATCCTGGAAGTCCTACACTTCCTAAAGGAGACCTGAGGGCAGAGAACACAAGGTGTGCCTCCACCCCCTTTCAGCTGCAGAATCCTATGTAAGCAGAGTTACACAGCAGTAAGAAAAGGGAGCAAGACAAGAAACACAGACTACATATCCTGAACAACTCTCTTTAGTGTTGCCTTAGTTAAATGACATCTCATTCCATTAGTGATCATGTACGGTATGCAATTCTACTATTGCCGATTCCAGAAAGTTTCAATCACAGATGGAATTTATAGTCTGACCTGTTGCAGCATCTTTAAAAGGATATGTAAACAATATTCTCCACCCTTATATCTGCCAAAAGGAAACACTTGGGAAAGGAGAAGAACAGGCATTCTTTCAGTCTATTTGCTCAGGTTCTGGAATTCATGAGGGTAGGGAGTTTAAGTTCCTCAATTTTAACAGCTATTGAAGGATCTGCCTTCCCTGGAGTTCAATTCCTTTGTGTATTTGTTTATATATTTCGTTTCTAGCACAGCTTGTGGCAGTAAATTCCAAAATTTATTCAGTGCAATGGCAAAAAAACTTCCTTTTGTGTTAAAACTGCTACCTGATTCCATTGTAGCTATGGGGGAAATGAATAATAGTGAATGCACGCGTTTTCAGATTTGAGAGGCACCTATCAATACAATTTGTCACTTTATCATTACTATTGGAGGCATTCAACACTCTTAATCTGACCATTTATAGAGTCAAATACTTTGGACATAAATAAAAACAGAAATGTGGATGATCACTAAACTGTGGTAAGTGAAATCTCATTCTACTAGATGTTGGTGAGCACCTGGAGATAAAAGGAATCTTGACAGGCAGTCATGGGCTTTTTGTTATGAAAGTAACCCAAAAGGCACAAGGTTGACCGGGATCAGGTCTACAGCCATACAAAGACACCACTATTTTACAATACTTCTTTCTCTAGTGCTACATACTATTAACCTTGAAGGGAGAAATCCTGAAGCTGTTTGCCTTAAACTTGTTTAAGTGACTTCGCAATGCTATTGACACCTAAATCAAACAATAAAATACAACTGCTGCTTCTTAAATTTTAGTACTACGTTTTCATCTGGAAATAAATAGCATTTCCCAGCATGGCTAACTTATAAGACATTCTATTGCCTTCAATGATAATCTATCATGTTTGCAGGCTTATTATATACCCAGGACAAAACTGGGAGATCTTACGTGTTAATACACAGTTCTCATTTGTGAATTGACCAGTAGCAGGTTATGGGTTACTGGACTGTGGGAAGCGTTGTCATTATTTACTCCTCTCATCATAAGGACGAGAACAGAAACCTTTCAGTTTTATCAGGACATTACAGAGTACCTCTTGTTTACTGACTGCATTGCAACTGGCAGCTGACGTTCAAAGGAGAGCAAGCAGCACATCAGTAACCCCCCACCAGATGGCAGCACAGGCACACAAACAGACCAGGACACCTCAGCTATAGAACTAAAAAAAAAAAAAAAAAAAAAGAATATGAAAAATATATTCTATTCTTCTCAACTTCAGTATTGCTTGTGAGGAATCATGGTAAGTTACATTATTTATGTCACGCCTTTTGGTATTACCAAGTTATGTTTTCCTACAGGAATTCCTATCATTAATAGGCAAAGCAAAGATTTGACATTCTGCCTGTTTCATTTGCCCCCAAAGGTGTTTAACTGCAGCACTTAATTTGCATACAATACTCAGTTGAGAAATACTGTTGTCTAAGCCACTTGATATGCAATTTTTCTATTAAACCTATCTCACTATATAAAGTATGATGTTTTATAATTCACAAGGAAGTAAAATGGGTGTAAGGAAGCATTGCTTATAACAAGCCACTGAAATTGCCTATTATACAGTTGTGCCTCTGTTTAAGCACAACTTAAAGTAATTTCTTAGTTTAAGCATCCCCTTATTTTCCCCAAATACTCCCCTCAAATACTCCTTTTTTTTTTTTTTAATGGTTACCATTGATTCTGTCTGTTCTTCAGAGCATGACTGGATATTACGTGATCTTCAAATCATTGAGTGAATAGTAAGAAGTTTAATACTTTTTCATACACTGTTTTTGTATTCATGTATTTCATGAATGCAATCACATACCATTAATAACTAAATTTAGCTTTCATTAAGCATGACCGAACAACAGAAGAGACAAATACAATTTATTTCACTTCTGCATTTTATTCTGAAACCACTGACCTCATTTTTAGGACTAAAAAAATCACACGGGTAAAAATAAGAGGAAAGGATGAAACAAAGGTGGCATAAATCAGTAATTCAAAAGCATTCTTCTGCCATACAGGAAAAGAAATATATATTATATTTTGCTGTATGAAAAATTAATGAAAAAATTGTATCCAGCACATGAAGTTGTATTTTGAATCAGAACATAATCTAGATCATCAGTTTCCTCTGACCTCTAGCTTTTGGTTGAACACCTTTGTTGTATGGCTTTTTGAAACACTAACAACAAAAAATGCAGGAAAATGCAACTTGCAGTTAAAGACAAAAAAATCATGCCCCATGGCTTATGGGCTTTTAGATAGAAAATGAACAGCTAAACTTAGATTTGCCTTGTCTTTCACATACCTTGTGATAAACCTGCTCAGAAGTATTAAAATGAAAACTGCATCCTGCTTTAAGTCAGTTTGGTTTATGAATAAACTCGTCTGCTCTAGGTCAACAAACCTTAGCTTTAAAAAAAAAAATATTAACATATTCCAAACTGTATTTTAGTACACTTACATTAATCTTATGGAATAGTCTTGCAAAACAAACCTCCAAGGGTTATACAGAAGACAAAAGTAATTTTTAGACTAGTTGTAATACCTCTTCCTCTGAAAGATTTCTAGAAATACTTAAACATTCAACACAACAAGTTTATGTAGCTGATAAAGATCATTTCCTCTTTCCTGCTTCTTTTCTGACTGGTCAATGATACACTGAGAATCCACCTAATCAAAAGAAGCAAGATGAAATTCAGAACACATTCTTAACACTTTTTCCTATATAACATGGCTAAAGAAGAGTTTTGGAAGTTTCAAATCACACAGGCACAACAGTTCCATGCCACACATTTCAACAAAAGAGCCAATACTATAAAATGCTGCACCTCATGGTGTTCCTGAGTCAGAATACTATTCCACAATCAACTCCAAAGCACTACAGGTAGTATTTTACGTGACAATGTAAGAAAGATTGTCCTGAGATTCTTCAGACTTCAGATGCAGTGGGGAAAATCCTGATCCAAGGCCTATACATTAACTTGTTATGAAAAGCAAAACACCAGTAACTGAATAGGAGATTATCTTCATAATACCAAGGACAATTTGAAATACAAAACCAGAAACACTTTGGCTTAAGGCAGTGTATCACGACACACTCTAACCCCTCAGTGAATGCCTACTAGAAATATGCGCCCTTGGTCCTCACTCGTCAGTCTTTTCAAGAAGAGAGACCTAACCCCCTCATTTATATGCCTCAGGGTGGGAGAGGCACAAGGAGTGTGCGTGTAGAAATCTTACTGCTGCACTCATCAATTTCTCGCTCTCTTTTAATAAAGAAAATGAGCTTGTTCATCAGGAAATCTAGTTGCCAGCAGAGGCCCTTACAGGAAGAAACGTAAGACTTCCAATAGAGTAGGAAGCTGGACTCTTCAGCTTTACAAAACCCTCCCAGATTTTGAGAAAACTGCCCTCTATCTGATCCCGGCACATTCACTCTACAGCAAGCCACATTTGTATCTGCCTAAAAGGGAAAAGCCACCTGAAAGCACAGCAACCCAAAACAAAACTAAAATGCACAGTAGTCAGATAAATCCTAAACAAGAAAAATGTATCAATCTTTTCTTTTAGGCCACAGCTGCTTAATAGAAAGAATCAAAAATTTTAACTTCCAACAAATGTAAAGTTGCCTTTACAATCTCTCTCAACTTAAAAATCATGAAGTGTTCTGTTTGAAAAGGCTAAATATTTGTATATACAAAATTAAAAAACAAAACAAAATCCCCAAACTAAATAGACTCTACAAAAATAGGATATCAATAGAGGCTGATGTATGCACAACAGTTCTTCAGCCTTGAATTTGATTTAATGCTGCTTTCAGTATCTTTAACACTTTTTTTTTTGTTTGTTTCCTCCCTAGGCTCCAAGACATCTTTCCAAAGGAAATTCTCCGTTTGACCACTTTTAACTAAGTGTACTGGGGTACTTTAAAACTCTCTTTTTTTTAAAAAAAAAAAAAAAAAGAATTTATACCCTTACCTGGTTCCATGCATATGGCTTCTCATACCATACAGGAACAATTATATCTCGAGGTTTTGGTTTGCAGATTAAACTGAAATTAAATAAAAATAGCCTTAATAAATACACTTGTATTTGATTAATTACAAATATAAAGGAATTTTTGTATTGGATACAGCTGGGCGTTTACAAGGTGTCTGTGCTGAAGGGAATCTTAAATGTCCTTGTTAATCTAGTCTGATTTGTTCACTTCTCTGTACTTTGCTCCTCTAGTATAAGAGTCAAAATATGAATTTTCACAGGGGCATTGTCTACCAGAATGTATTTTCTTTCAAATAAAATAAGGATTTTTTTTTAATTTACAAAGTACTAGAATTTGCAACTATCATTTATTCCGTAAGTTTTATGCATGCTTGTTCACTAGAATGTATAATACAGCTATTTTTAGGGTATTTTGTTTTGCATGACAACTCAGTTACTATAGATTATCTGTCTGCTCCAGTTATTTCCTCAAGCTGTGCAAAGGACAACAGTAGTAGACTTTAATTAATTCTGTCTAGATGTGTTTTTCAAATACTCATTTTAATCTTAAGTAGTGGTGACATGTTGTAAATACAATTAGCTTCTGAAAAACGGAAAAAAGTTATAAAAGATTATTCAGGCTAAATTTTTACATATTTACTCTTATTATTAAAAACTTAGGTTTTTTCCAAGACATAAACCAAAGTACAATCAGAATAAAAATATTCAAAACGAAGAAAGGTTTTACACAAAGGAAAAAACAACATCATGACAATAGCCACATTTTCTCTTCCTTCAAAAGGGTAAAATAAATAAGTAAGATTGAAAAAATAGCTGGAGGGTCGTTGGAACAGAGTCGATAAAATCCTAAAGATTTCAAGACAGAAAACTGTACCACAGAAAGGTATAAAATCCTAACAAAAAAAGCCCAGAAGGCTGACGAGAATGAGCGAGGCAGGCAGGCAGTGTTGACTGAGCCTGAGAAGACGTCAATGCTGACGACCTGTGCCAAGGAGCTGCGCAGGGCTGCTCCTTCCCCTCCCAGCTGGCTGGAGATGTCTGAACAATGAACACAAAAACGGTGTCAAAACAGTAGCAAGTATTCACATGTCTGAAGAAATAGCATTGACATTTTTGTGCCTTGAATTTAGTGTGTAAGTGTTGATGTCCAAGTACGAGCTCCTGTTACTGTCAGTCACCTCCAGAGAGGTTTTGTGGTCTTGCTTCTTTCTGCCTATCCACTTCCCTTGACTTCTCCCTACATTTATTACCACATGAATCACACAAGCCATCTTCATTCAGCTAAATGTGGTACGACATGGCAGTGTCCAAAGGCAACGCAGACACCAGCTGGCCTGAGGTACTGGGACACAAACAGGAAAATAAATACTGCATCAGCAGTACACTCGACAGCTGGTATTTTACTAAGATTTTTGCAGATGTGAAACATGCACAGCTTGCCATCAGGTTGCACTGGTGCTCCTTAAGTTGAAACTGCAAGCAGCGTGCATCTCTGACGTCCATCTCTGTGAAGCTGTACCACCACTTTCTGGATGCACACACAAACTTCCGGCAATTGGTTATGCTCTTTTAATTTCATTTCCAGTGCCTCAAAATGTAAGGCTGACTCCCCCAGCACTTTTTAATTTATTATAAAATGCATCACACTGAATTTTCTTTCAAGTTTTGGAAATAAAAAGTATGGGTACTTGCTTTCAACTAAAGGCAATGTAATAGTTTTTTGCACAGCTGGGAAAAAAATAAAAATCAACTGAACAGGTACATTCAAAAACAAGAAACACCTGAAAACTTAGCATAAACAGCTGCTCTGATAATCATTTTGATAACCTAGGGTAAGGGCAGCCAAGCTTTAAAGCTTCTGATCTTTATCAGCTTGGGGAAATGCCTCATTTTGGCATACAGTTACTTTAGAAAAGCTTTGTTCACAAAAGGTCACACTTCCTAGAGATGAGGCCAATACTGGAGAGCATAACATAACTCTTAATTCATGGCTGAGCCAGAGCTCTTTTTGAAATCTGTCCAGTACAGAGCCAGGTCAGGATGAGAAAAGTCTACTGATGAAGCAGACAACACTAAAATGCACACTATGTTTACAAACAAGGGAAGACTTTCCACAGCATGCTTAGCAGTGGCAGACATTAGAATGAGCTGTTACAGGGGTACTTTATTGAACTGGCTCCCTCAAACACTTCCCACACGCTGCAAGCTGAAAAAAATTCTCGACTGGCTGCACTGACTCACAAGAGTCTTTTCAGAATCACTGCTCCAGTTACGGCAAGCAGGGAGGCCTGCTGAAAAAAGAGGCAGGTGGCCTTACTTCAATTCATACATTAACCTGGGACCTCCAGCAATTAACTTGGCCAAAACTATCCTAACACAGGTTTGCTGAGGGAGGAAAGGCAGCACACACAATTTAATGCATAGGGAGAAAGACCTCTACATGCTTCTGCACTCTTATGCCATAGGAATTAATATTAACTTTGTCCTGGGTGCACAAAGCAAAGATACATCAGAACTGGTAACCTGTACAACAGGTTTTACAGTCTAGGTTTTATGACTCTTAAGCGATCAGGCTTCCCTGAAGAACCAGTGCTTCCACAAGAAGTCTGAAGTTGTTGAGTATACTGCTTTATAAATAAACAAAGTAAATTAAATGCATCATTTATTGAGAATATATTATTTCCCCAAAGCCTAATCTGAGCTATGCTTCAAGGAATCATTTCTTTTGTTTTTGCTGAGATTGTGAAACAGAAGATCTTATTTCTACAAAATTATTACCATAGAAGTTTCTGACGAACATTTTCCTGCAGCTGTGTCATTCTCCCTTGTCCAGAACACACTGCACATTCACAGAGCAGCTTATTAATGGCTGTCCTTAGGATGTTTATCTGTAAAAATACCAGTGACAGAACATAAGGCACTCTAAACCAGCACTAGTTCTGTGTTGTATTATATTACACTGATACGAAGGTGATCATGGCAACCATACCACTGAACTTCAACCAGAATATTTTTAACATAAGCAAAAACATCTGAAGCTTTAGAAATACCACTTCTTCCAGATGCATCTCTGCTGGTCAAAGACGTTAACGTTCAGCCACTCGTTACCACAATATTCAAGATTACTCAGATATGCTATAAAACATACAGGCTACCACTTGCCTGGATTTTTTCCAACACAGAATTCCTTCTCTAAGTTCTAAGGATTTTCTCTATCTGTCCATAATTTTCACATGCACAACAGCTTGGTGTTACCATTCTGGTGAAGGTGTCATGAATACAGGCATTGCACACACCAAGTCAGTGCTTTCAGAAAACAATAGCTCAGATATGTGCACCAGCATGTCCACCGTGTCCATAAAAAGCCTCTAGAAACCACTGATTGTCACCTAATGTACCTGCTCTGTACACGGAACTTATCAGGGCATGCGAGGTCCTTCACTGTCTAAAGCATGTGTCGAATCTGAAGCACAGGTCAAATACAGCTTACTGTCCTGCTTAACAGAGTGTATGCGCATACTTCCCTCTGACAGATCTCTGTCTGCAAGTTGCAAAAAGGCTGTAATGAGGAATGTCGAAGGTTTTTATTGTTTAGTTGGTTGATCTACTCTGGGAGAAGCAGCTTGACACAGATGACTTATCAGAGCTGTAGAATCAAACTGAAGATTGCAAAGCAGTCATGCTAGGCTGGTCAGTAAAAACCATAATAATCCTAAGAAAATAACTAACAAGTATTGACATCCGATCAGTGTAAAATTGATGCTTTTGTTTTGAAAAGCGTACAATGTATTGTTCTATAATATTTTATTTTGTTCAAAGGAGGGGGTAACTTTTTTTCTAAGAATCCAAGGTCATAAACAGGTAGTACACTAAAAAAAAACCACCAAACCCAAACCACAGTTTAAAACAAGTTTTCTTATTAACTAAGAGTTATCAAGCTCTGATGCAGTGAATTCTACTTAGTTCCTACTACAGTGAAAATTCTTATGCACGTTTTACCTCTGATATGTCTTCCACTCCAAAATGCACGTCAAATGTCAGCTCCATGTCATTTTCTGGAAGCAGCGGAGCCCCAGAAGTCTGACTCCAACCCAAACCGCACAGAACACCAGTATAATACTTTCCACTTTTATCAACCCTGTACAAAAAAGAAAGAAAACAGTCTTGCTTAGAGATAAAGAAACTGAACTCACATGAATACAGACTGAAAATGAATTTTGCCATGCCAAACAAGATTCAGGTGTTTTAAAGAAGCTAAGACAACTGAGAGACATTCACACCTAGTCACACTGGTTTTATTAAATACAGTGATGAAACAAAACTAAAGTTCTGGTTATGAAAACATATACTCAAAAAACTTAAAAAGAAAATCATACATACGCAAAATGGAACTTCAATTAAGGAAAGCTAGCTTCACTATGTTGAAATGACAGTCTACAGATACAAGAATTTAAACAAAACACAACAGTAATGCAACTGCCAGAACTCAGCTTTTACAATAATCATGCCAATTCCTCTCCTCATGTAGGTTTAAAACTTGCCCAGTTCTACAGTTCAGCTTCCTAGGCTTCCAGCACGATTGTCAGGAACTGTATTGCCTTATCGTGAGGTAGAGCCTGCAGCACCAATTCGTAAGTACAGGAAACAAGTTATCTTAGCTACATACTATACTAAAACCAATAAAAGATGCAAGAATTACATGATCAGGAAGGGAATATACTAAATGCTGAAAGCAGAGAAGAAAAGAAATCCGTCACCAATTTTTGAGGGTCTTAAAAAAAATAAAAGAAACACCACCTTTTAAAACGCACGAATACCTGAGTTCTATAGCAGGAGCAAACAGCATACTGAGAAGTGCAAGCAGGCCAGGAATAGGAGGCATCAAAGATGTTTCCTCTAAAATCACAGTAGATCCTGTCACCAAAAAAAAAAAAAAAATTTAAAAAAACCCCTAAGCAGTATCTAATGAAAATGAAACCTCAAAAAGATGTAAGGTAAAACTACAGCGACATATTTACTTGCAGAACTATTCATGTAAAAACAAAAGTCTAGACAAACCGCCCATTTTTATTAAGCATTACCAGTTGCATTTACTGATAAAGAAGCAGCAACCAACAATTGCTGAAAGGGATCTTCTGGAGCATCATGGACAACAACAGAGTTTATGCTTTCCTTCTGTATGAAAGCATTTCTGGGGAGGAAATAAGAAATATTTTCAACATTAAAAAACCAAAAACCATACAAACATGTAAAAAAAGAGTTATTTTAAATTCACAATGCCACCTCAATGGACAGCAGTTACTGCCTGAAGATTACCTGAATACTGTTTAGCTGATGTATATGATGGTTAATAAATAATCTCTCTGCAAGACATTAAAGCACCTTTAATAACACTACTCTTAAAATTTTACATAGCAGTAGCATGCATACTAGTGCAATTCAGGCCTGACTACTTAAGTCTTTTCAACGAATAAAAATTCTGTAAAAATCTGTAAGATTAACTGGAATGGTTTTTGCCTATTTACCATAAGTAACAGCTGAGAATGTGCCTATACTTCACAGTAAAAGTATTCTCATACCTGAACTGGGATACTCTAGTCATACTGTAGCATTTCACCTCATAAGGACTGAACGGCCCAAAAACTGCTACCTTCAAAAAGAGAGCAAATGATATTCTAGTTAACCAGCACCTGGATCCTCCAACTCAAAATCCTTTATAAACAAAAACCAAAACACATTCCAGCATGTAACTGAGCAACACTAAATTGATAAGCAGCATTTTCATTTCACCCATCTAAAGCCACCTAAACAAAAATAATTTATTTTCACAGGTGCTGGGGGATTCACGACTTTCCTCTGACTTAAAAACCACAAGTACAGAGTTCATAGAGCACCTAACAAAACCAGGTCATTTTTGTTTACAGGAGCAAGTCATTAATCTTGAAAATATCTCACTTTATGAAAGTGAGCAGTTAAACAGGATTACTCCTGTGGGTAAACTGAGCACGATTACATGCGTGAAAGCCTGAAATTTTGTCAGGTCTGAAATGGGACAAGAATTATAATGTAGATGAGACTTAACTTGTAATCAGAATGCAGAACAGGACACACATTTTCATGGTTTATATTCCAGCTTAGTAGTGACTAGATATCTCAAAATACATAAGTAAGAATAAATTCTGAGTTTGGAACTGGCAGTGGAAGAAAAACCCACTGTTTCATTAGTATCAGTTATTGAAGCGTTTGTTGCATCATCTATCCTAGTTGCTTACCTATTGCTAGCTGAGGAAGAACGAAACACTGTGTATAGAAAACCCATGTTTAATTTTTCTGAAAAATTGATAGGGTCATAATCTTGCTTTTTGCTGTAGCTTATATAATGAGGACTACCATGTGTGGAAAGATTGTCTTCAGTTTTTCAATTGTATCTTCATTCTGCAGTTGTTCAAAGTGCTGCCTTAGAATGTGTCAGAAGAGTCAGTTGACTTAGCTCTTAGGCTGTACTTCAAAACTTTGTTAAAAGCTGCAAAGAGTAGTCTGCAGTGATGGTCACATTACGGCTTTCTACCAACAGAAGGCAGAATGGACTATGAAAGACATCAAGTATGGTTTGGTTATTAAATGTACATTCAGTCTTCACCTCCATTCTAACAATGTGAGAAGCAGGGTCATGTAACAACATATCAAAACCACCACCGAAGTTACCTTATAGGTTGGTGCACCAGATTTATTGTCAGAAAACAAGTTTAACAATCTTTCAATTAGATGCTTTTCTTTCTTTCTTGAAGATACAGCCATTTTCTCTTCGTTCTTCACTTGGTCCAAAAATAATCCTTTGAGCAAATCATGGCTTTGCTATATAATAACAGAAGAGTCTTAAAACCATGAAAAGGCTATACTTTTCAAAAACTTTACAAAATATGGTCCTACACAAAGAACATGCATACTCACATACGAATACAAAAAACAATGTTCTTATCACCTTTCAGATTATATAAAACACAAAAATGGAAGACAGTTAAAACTATGAAACAGTTACATTTTTTCAAAGTTTCAAAAAACAGTGGAGCAGTTCAATTGATGCCATTATCTCCTGGGAAACATCTCTTTCAAAAGGTGTCTCAAAGCAGCAATGCTTTTGACAGCTCCATATGAATTATGCACACACATAAAAATACATTGTCCCATTCAAGTACTAGTCTTGCCTAATCCTATGGCATTAGCCAAGACTTCAGCTCAACTTCTCGGGACTTTAGATAGCCTAAAATGAAATAAATTAGTATAAGAAAAGTAGAAGCAGCTTACTCAATACGTACTTGAGATTCGTATGATTCTTTCGCTAGTTCAGCATAATGTTCTTCAATAAGAACATCTCGAATATTCAGAAGCTCCTCTTTGCACCTCGAGTAATGGAAAACATCCACATGCAGAACACTATGCACAACTGAATACACCTTCACTAGAAGAGTATAGCCGTTTACCAGTGAGGCAAATCTCTGGCTAGCACTGTAACTCCACCATTCCCCACATACAAGAGATTTTGCAGATGGACGCATCTTGCATATCTTGAATTCTAAAGCCTAGAGCAAAGACATTGAAAACAATGCCAGAGTAGAGAATCAGCATGAAAATGTTTCATCTTCTCAACAAACTGTTTGAATTAATAACTATAAATGACTCCATAATTATTGCAGCAGCTACGACTGCTGTAAACCTACTGGCATAATTCCTATTCCATCATTGCCAAAGCAGCTACATATTACATCTCATATCACTTCAGTATTGTACATAATTGCTAATGAATCGGAGCAAACAGGGCATAAATAAGAGATAATCTGCTATTAATACACCATCTGCATTAAAATCTTAGGAGTGTAGAGATGTCCACTATAGAAAAAAACTTTACAATCCATAGTTCTCTTCAGCCAAGGTAACAGAAAACTTGGCAAGACCACCGCAGTTATTCTGTCCCTGGCAGGCAAGAGTAATTAAGTTCTCTTTTAACCCCTTTCCACAGTCACTATCTGTATTTATGTCTTCAAATTAATTTACAACAGAAATTCTGTTTGTTTTTTTTTTTCTAGCTGGTCATTAAAAGATGAGGCCTGAAGGAGAAATACATTTCCCCTTAATACATCTGAAGAAAACCCAGAAACTCACTATTCTTGACAAAATTAATTCTACTTACTTTTTTAAAATCAATTATAAAAGAAAACCAAGCAAAATTAACCCTGTCAAGATCTAATTCTAAGACATAAAATTAAACCATACTTCTGCTGGTTGATTTCTCATTTTCATCATTAAACTCTTCAGAGAATAAAGTTAGTATGATACACCTGTTTCAATTAGCTTAAAAATATCTGAATGAGGAGTAAAAAGCTGAATTTCACTTTAAGTCTCTAGTTATTTTATTTATAAATATAGCCCAAGAGAATTATTTTTCTGAAAAACTATCTATCTATAAAGGTATCTCAGATTTGTGTTACCAATCACTATTTAATTATCAAGAGAGTTCTGTCTGAAAAGATCCAAGTAAAGCAAGTAATTCAAAGAACAGCAAAGTAGCCGAAAGCAAAACCAGAGACTTCTAGCTTTGTAAAATTTAAATCAGGTATCTCCTATGTATTTGTCCTGTAACTAACAGTGTAGCAGAGCTGGAGCTCTGATGGAGCAAAAATGCTCAGTAACTGTACACAAGACGGATGTCACTGCAGATTTGTGCCACCAGACAAGAAAAGATAGTATGCTGGCACTATCTGTAGTAGGGGCAGCTAGGTTTAAGCAGAGAAAAATCAATTAAACTAGTCATTGATAGTTTCTCCTCTCTGGGCTGTTTTCTAGGCTGTATAAACCTCTGTCATTTCCTCAGAGGTTCTTTAAAATAAAGCAAAGTTGACCTACCGCTCAGCCTGTTAGAGCTCTGCCTGAGCAGGCAATAGCGGAACCGGAACAACATTCTCCTCATACAGAGAAGTTCTACTTCACATAGAACTGATGGACGGCAAAGAAACTGATAACCAAAAGCAACAAGTAGCAAAAGGCAGCTGTTAGAGCGATTTCCTCTCTCCTTCCACTGTTACTGTCATTACAGGTGGGAGACAGATCACACTGCGTTGTCTCCACAAAAACAGGACCCGTTCAAACATTTAGTTAAAACAAATGAAGACAAACAATGTTTTCTTACATCCAGTCAATCAGCAAGTTCAGGCTTTTTTTTTTTTTCTCTAGCAAGTACCCCTGAAAACAAAAGGCTGGATAACATCTCTACAATTAAATATAACGCAATTGAGTTAGACACAATAATTACTGCTCTATGCATACCATTTATCCACCTATTAGTGAAGGTGATTTGTAGGTACTCCCATTAGCAAAATCCATGTTACTTCATTACTATTCTGAAAAGCATTATGATTTGAAGTATTCTTTTGTTTGCCAGACCAGACATGAAAATATCTATCAAGCAGCAGCAAATAGCATTACCCCTACCTGGAAAGGAAGCTCTCGAAGACAGGTTGGAATCTCTTTCAATTTCTTTAAAGGCACTTTTGATCTATTGCCATAATCCACAAAAAAAACCTGGAAAAAGAATCAAGAGCATCCGCAAAAATTCCATAACATTAAAAGCGCTACTTTTAATGGCAAGGAAAGCAACAACCTAAGACTAATAATTACAGTACAACACAATCTTATCAAGTGAAATGGAAGCAAACTCAGGAGTCTGGAAAAGATGCAAATGAAGACATGTCAAAAATAATAGGTCAAATTTTATCATGTCTATTATTTGATCCTTCAGCTTAAACATCCACTGGTAATGCAAATAATCTGCTAAATCTCGGAAAGGCAAATTTTTCTGAAAGGCTCTAATTCTCTCCCCACAATTAAATCCGTATAACCTTACTTCTTAACAGTGATACTAACAACTGCTTTTAAATAAGCACATGCTAACATGGATTGAGTGACTGTTTATAAATGCAAAAGAGAAAGGGATAAGATTAGAACTGTTATTCACTAGTTTTCCATGACTTTACACAGACAACAACGTTCAGTATTAACTCTGTAGTGGTGACACCCAGCTATGTTAAGAAACCGAGAAATTCAAAAGGAGGAATGGGCTGTGCAAAGGCCAATCTTGCAAAAATTAAAAAATCTGTCCTTAACTGCTAAAGAGAAAAGCATTGGCCTGAAAAACGTATACCAATCTTGAACTGTGGCACTAATTTCCATTATTGATCTCAACACAATTAGCCAAAATGTTCTGATGAATTTGCTGATGATACAGAACTCAGCAACATAAACACTAATCCAAAAAAAAGATCACACTGAATGGACCTGAGAACTCAACAGGAACAGGTAGAATCAAATTGTATGAATCATAGAATGGTTTAGGTTGGAAGGGACTTTGAAGATCATCGAGTTCCAACCCCTCTGCCATAGGCAGGGACACCTCCCACTAGACCAGTTTGCCCAACGCCACTTCCAGCCTGGCCTTGAACACCTCCAGGGATGGGGTCTCAACAACCTCTCTGGGCAACCTGGGCCAGTGCCTCACCACCCTTAAAGTAAAAAACTTCTTCCTAATGTTTAATCTAAACCTGCCCTCTTCCAGTTTATAGCCATTCCCCCTCGTCCTATCACTACATGCCCTTGTGAAAAGTCCTTCCCCAGCTCTCCTGTAGGCCCCCTTTAGGTACTGGAAGGCTGCAATAAGATCTCCCCGGAGCCTTCTCTTCTCCAGGCTGAACAGCCCCAACTCTCTCAGCCTCTCCTCATAGGAGAGGTGCTGCAGCCCTTGGATCATCCTCATGGCTCTCCTCTGGACACGCTCCAGCAGGTCCATGTCTTTCTTTTGTTGAGGACTCCAGAGCTGGATTCAGTACTCCAGGTGGGGTTTCACAAGAGTGGAGTAGAGGGGCAGTATGAAGTGAAAGACCATATCCTTTTGCATTTTTAACAATTTCTGCTATAAATTCTCCATTATTTATAAATTCTAATTAGGTGGAAATTACTAAGGAGACAAAACCAAGTCTAAGATGACAAGAGGTGGCCCATGCAAAAAAGCTATGAAAAGGCAAATGTGGCATGTGCCACATGATATATTTTTGAATGCAGAGGAGAAACACTGTGTTGGAATAGGAATAATTGTTCATTATTGCACAAGAGGAATAATTTATGCATTACTGCATAAATAAAGGCGGAACTGTAAGTACAAGAGCATACATAATTCTGCTTCAGAAAACTGAGGTCAAAACAGAAGAGAGTGAGATGGAGAACAGGTAAACAGAGAGTCAATGTAGTATGTGAGATGAGAAAGAGTGCAGCTTGCTTCAATTATCAAAAAAAGGTCCAAGAAGAAAAAGATTGACAAGAAACTGGAGAGGAGAATAAAGAGGAGGAAAAGAAGAAAACCGATGTAAACCAGGGGAAGAAACACTGGAGAAGAACAAGCTTAGAGGAATTGGCCACAAATGACTGAAAACTGCCGAGCAAGAAACTTACTTTTCAAATGGATCTCAATATATTATTTATGAAGAGGAAGTGATGGGGCTGCTGCCAGCAATGCAGCACTGGACTCTGATCTAGGCATTCCTTATCATGCTTTCAAAGTTACTGGAGGTTTCAGTCTTTATTTTGCTCTGCTCTGCTTCAGCACACAAGACACACTACTGTATCAACAACAGCTTCTCACTTTAATACTAAAATATTCCTGTGTTCTGGAAAAAACCTAATTCATCTATTCTGGCAACATTCTATTAAGGTTTTATTTTAGTTCTATGTAGTTCTACAGATTTCTTTACTGGGATATTTATGATTATCATGGACATGATGCTTTGTTAAAGAAAAAAAAGAAAAAGCATAGCTGGAAGATTGTTAACCCAATTACACCCTACCAATTCAATATGACATAACATATTACTGTACCTCAGCAAAATCTCCACAAACATTCAGAATACGAGCTCTGTAGTATCCTCTGTTTTCCAGATGAGTGAACGGTGCCAGACAAACCAACTCTGGATGTGGAGACACTGTTAAATCCATCAGGTTCTGGTAGTTAATTTCAGCAGTTAGAGCCTGGAGTACAGTCCTATTTTTTTCATCTGTTCTGTAACCCCAGAAGTGTCCAACTTCTACTATCTGAAAGTATAAAAATTAGACAGATTTCATATTATTTTATTCTTCTATATCAAACACGAAACACATTTGAGCAAAACACATGAAAGCACTCATATTCTTGACACACACATAGAAATGTTCCCATGCTGCAGTAACACGGTGAAGCATTTCTCTCTCATAATTATTTTTAAATGCTTACTTGCTGTGCAATTGAAAGACCCTTCTCAACTAAAGAGACCCTGATACAAGCATTAATAAAATACAGAAAATTAAGAAGACAGTACTTCCATTTTTCTAAACCAAATTAACATACAGAAAATATATGGTATACAGTTGATTAGACAGATACATACAGATATGGTGCATTTTTCTTATTAGTGAAAAAAAGAACAGTTGGTTAGATCTATCAGCAAATCAGCATTGCTACTGTTATGATTAGCCATCCTTTAGAAAACAGAGATGAACACATCACTATTTAAATCAACTTGAATAAAATAAGTCATCTTCTCAAATGCCTTACTGAACTCCTATACCATTTCTGATCTTGTATTAAATGCTTGTGATAAAAAAAGAATATCTATTTACAGTACATACTATCATTAAAGCCGATGTATTAAACAGAAGTAGCATAGATAGTTAAGTGATTGGAATGTGTCTGATCAAATCCATTAACGTTTTTGATACAAGAGACTTCACTGAATAAAATGAAGAAAATATTCTTTTCTGCACTTGCAAAACACATCAGTACTATCAAGAGCTGTTTTAATGCTTCAGCCTATAACTTCCACTAGCTCAGTGGTTTGGATTTTTTATTATTTTTATTTCAGCAGCATATATAGTGCTTGCTATTACTCAATTTCTGGAGAAGACAATAGTTAACACAAGATTTAAAAATTGTCAACTTCAGAATTCCTAAATATTTATATATACGTAAATTTTCCCTTAAAACACTACCTTTTAAGCATGCAATATTTTTCTGAATAAGCATGCAGTACCATTAATTCATCTCATTTCTCACATCTACAGTTTCTGAAGAAAACTACCGGTTAATAATTACCAGCTAAATGGCCCAAATACCTACTGATTCTCATTTATACACTGTAGGCAAATATTTTACCTCTCCCATTAATCCTCTTTACATTTATGCATACTTCCAGCTAACATTTACTGCCACCAAATCCCACAAATTTTCTCAAGTACAAATCAATTTCAATGTGTGAAATTTATTTGTGACATATGAGCACTGTTTAACAAAGAACTTCTAAAAATTAGACCAAGAATATTCTCCATACCTCTTATGAATACCTCTGTGCTAAAAACATTATTAGTACTCATTCTTTTCATTTAAGCTTGTCAGATGTTAATCTCTACAAAATTATCTAGGTAGCGATTATTAGATACGACCTACTTCACATGTAGAACATTCCTACCTCTGTTATCCTGATGGACAGAAAACGACTTGGGATCATCTTTGACTGTTGTGAAGTACCAAATGAGATTTCCACAGGCTCCACTGTCTGCTTCTGACAGTCCACATTCACTCTAAAAAGTTTATGGAATAAAGATGCTAAACATTTCACTTGCACATGAAAATTCAGGAGTTCAATTCTTCTGCTTTCATTTGCTTCCCAAGGTATCCCTAGGGCACATTTATGTACCTAATGACTTTTACTTAGAAACATACTAATTCAATTAGAACATAAAATGACCACACAGAACCAAAATACTACAGAGAAACTGTTTAAATTCCATTATGACCAAACCCAGGAAGATACATACCAAGATGCAACTGTGCCATCAATTTATTAGAACTCCAAAGAATTGAGTTTAAATAGTGGGACTTTTTGCTATGATATGCCAAATTTTTCTAGCAGAAGCAAGCGCGGACCAAAGAGACTCACTATGTTGCATTCCTCATTAGCATTTTCTATCATGCCTCCCCACCTTATGTTGTTACATTTCCCTCCAATTTCTGCTGTTATACTCCTCCTCCCTCCCTTTATTTTATGTTCTCAAATGCCGCTACTTCTTTATTTTGGTTCTAGCAATCCCCATATTATCTCTAGCATGAATAGAAATTACTGTGTACATCTGTATTTCCATATGCCAAAGACAAACTGACCAGAACCTTAAAAAAAAAAAAAGACAGAGTATATTTGGAGTTTTCTTAAACAGTAGAACACCTTTTACTATAAAAAAATATTTTAAACAATCATGTTATTTCTAGTCCTGCAAAAACATTCTGCTTATACAAAGTTTACACATCTGTTTTATGAACCTAACATGTCCTCCTTGGCGACACTTTCAAGGAAATTTCTACTGAATCCAAACAAACCTCATTTAAACTTTACATTGCGAAGAAACCCATTTTCCATATGCAATACAATTACCTTAGAGATTCCATACTTGCAGCTCTCACACCTTGCAATTGCCTTTCAATATCATCTGGATAATGAACGTTCAGCTCAAGAGGAATTTTGAGCTGTGACATCTTGACTGACAGATACACTGCAGGAAGTATCTTAAAGCCCTCCATTGGGTTACGAGAGAACTCCACAAAAGCCCTGTTCAAAAAAAAAAAAAAACCCACCAAATAAAATGGCAATAAATACTTGATGAGGAATCAAAACCCAACAAAAAAAAAACCCATAAAAGCCATTATTTCTTCTCCTTGTCTTTATCTTAGCAGGCCAGCAAACAGTAAAATTAGGCACCTCACAAGCTCTGCTACTGCTCTCATGCACCTTAAAACTTTAATTACCACGATGGTTATAAGAAAACTTTCTAACATTCTCACAAGCCCATACGGAGCATATTTAATACAAACAGAAAGAATGTGAAAATATAAGTGAATAAGAAAAGAATTAAAGATTGGAAAGGACCTAAGAAGGGCTACATGAATTCACCTTTGGGCAGCTGTACTCCAAAGTTAGCCAGAAGATTAGCTAAAACAGCCAGTCACATGCATTTTGTAAAAAGCCGCCTGACTGGACAAATGAGCTAAATTCAGTATATGAATTAGAAATAAATACAGATGGATTGGTTGCAGTTAACGTCCACTGTCAAACAGAAGAGACAAAACAGAAGGTGGTCTCTAAATCAGCTTATCTAACGTTATTCCAACCAATGCATATAAAACTACAAAACCACCTTTCTTAGTCCAGCCAATACATTAAAAATAAATTACTGATCCCAAAGAGATGAGAAAAAATAAACTCATTTTGTCAGTGCACCACTGACAAAGACATTGGTTACTACATTTGTAACTGAGAACATGAGAAAGGCAGGAGACAAATTATTTTATACTTACTTTGATCCATCATAGGCAATAGATTTTACCTGCCCACACTGTCTAAACAGTGACTGCAACTGTTTATGGTACAGGTATCCATAGGGAGGAATATTCTTCATCTGTTAAAAAAAAAAGTTAAATTTGGATGCATTCAATTATTTTAATGCATTATTAAGTTCACCTAAATAGTTAGCTTCCTCCTTCACTTGAGCTGCAATAGTGATATACAAGCTAAAGCCCAATAAATTAAAAAAAATGCTGTATAACATATTAAATAGAAAAATCTCAAAAGACAATCAAATCAGAGTTTTGTTGCTAATGCTGCCCTACTGCCTTAAACCAGTACATAAATGTGTTTTTTCCCCCTCTAACTATAAATGAAGGAGCTTAATTTGCAATTACATATATTTCTTTGATAATTTTCTTAGAAGCTGTCTAGTAACAGAAAAGCAATAGATTCCTTGTCCACCGCTGGGAACTACATCCCAGGCAATGCGCACAGCCTGGTAAACAGGAGGAGCTGCAGCCTTGCAGGTGCTGGCAGAACTACCATGTATTGAATTACTGAGGTATGGTGGGACACTGAGGTATGGTAGGACAGCTTGCACAACTGGAGAGTGCTCTCATATTAATACGTGCTTCTGAGGGATGGTAGACAAAGAGCAACCTCCTGTCTTCCCTGTGTGTAGGAGTAGCTCAAACGGAAGGTGCTCTTACATGGAGCAGACAATGGGACAACCCAGCTTTTGTGGGTCAGGATAAGAGAAGAGGTCAGGAGTGGTAACAGAAGTGGGCATTTGTAACAGAGCATCAGTCAGGATGAAGCAGACAATCT